CTCCTCATAACAACTCTAAAAAAAAAAAAAAAAGCAGCAGCATCTGAGGGCTGAGCAGATCGCACAATTCCCTGAAGCCACACAGTAGTGACCGAAGCAGAATTCATGCAGTTGCCAGTCTCCAAATTCTCTGCTGTCCACGAATCTGTCGCCAGAACATGACACACACAGTCTACACAGCTGTCTGTGGAGATGACACCGTGGCAGCTCTGGACGGGTGGGGGGAGGCCCCCAGAAGCCGCCTGGCGGGTAGAAAGAGCAGTGCCCAGGGAGAGCCAGGCTCCGCCTGCTGCCAAAACGCTTGTCTACTCCTGACAGACAAGCCACCCGCTCTGTGAGTAAGTTTTCCCAAACTGGGAAAAGATAATGATTCTAATGATATGGATCGCATAGGATTTTTGTGAGGATTAAGAAGAATAGACACACACAGTGCTTAGAACAGTCTTATACAGAGGAAAGCCTTGTATTAGTCATTTTCCCATCAAGGGGACAAAATGTGCAATATCCACATCTTAATTTGACTCATGGTTTTGGGCTCAGTCCAGAGCCAACTGGCTACACAGCAGAAATGACACAGCAGCCAGGAAAGAGGGTGGGCAAGGAGGAGTGGGGACAAGAACACACCCTTCCAGGCCACTCCCGTGACCCACTCTGCCCAGGCCCCGCCTCCGGACAGCACACACAGCCACCGACTCTCACTGGATTCGTCCACGGGCGGGCACAGCGCCCTCGCTCCACTGGCCTTCCGGAAGCACAGGCGGCTTTGGTGGACGTTCCAGGTCATCGGTGATGGCGCTGCTGCACTCCCAGGGTGGGAATCAGAAAGCTGACCGGTGTCCAGACCCCATGGCTCACTAGCTGGCGTGTGGCCGCCTCTGAGTCCCAGGAGCTCCAAGATGCTGGCTCCTCCATGCAAGAGAAGGTGGAGGAGGTGACACTTGCAGCTGTGAAATCTGTGAGCTGCTGTCATTACAGGACACAAGACCACGACTTACAGCAGATATCGAGACACGTGAGAAATCCAGCGAACAACTCTGCTAGGGTAGCTACAGGTGTACTATTTACAGTAGTCCTCTAAACTTGTCTTTAAATGTTCCATTATCTGCAACATTTTATAAGATGATTTATAAAGCAAATTTATTTTTCAGCACCATAAAATCTTGGTGTCACATTCACAATAAAAGCAATTTAAGCACAATAATGCATTATGGTGAATTATCTCCAATGTTCCAGATGATTTCTCATGTTATTCATGCTAAAACCTGTCTGTGGGACAGGTAAGACCTGTACACAATGCGTGAGGCAAGCAGAATTCTGGGATGGCCCTCGTGGTCATGTTGAGGGACTCCGCAGATGTAATTACGGTAACCGACTGCTTAGTTGGAGGATATGGAGGTTATCTGAATGGCCTGGAGAAAACACACAGCCCACTGAAAGTACAGCGCACTCTCGGGCTGACCCCCCCGAAGAGGGAATCAGATGGTCTTAAAGGAAAATAAGGATTCAGAGTATTTCTACGGCTTGAGGGTGGGGAGATGGAAGACACCAGCTGCTCAGGGTGGTACCTGGCTGGCAGGAAGCAAGAAGCAAGGACCTGAGGCCCAGATGACAAGGCAGCCAATTCTTCTAGCAGCTGTGATGACCCTGAAAGCAGATTTCTCTCCCCAAGCCCCCAGACAGGACCTGAGCCCAGTCAGCACCACGATTCAGCAGTGACAGAAACACCAAGGAAGCCCAGCCAGGCCACGGCCACAGGACTGTGCATAGAGGTGCTGCTGAATTTGTGGCAAATGCTGAGCCACAACAGGGAGCTGACAGGGTAAACTCAGAGATCTTTCTAGATACAGGTGCTTTTAAATGGAGAGACACATAAAAGAGTTCTATTTTGACCATAGGTAGATCAACCAAAATCATGACAACCACATGCACGCATACTAAACAAACACACACACACACACACACTATATGTATCATGGTGTATTGAGATAGTGAAAAAACAACTGCAGTAGGGAACTAGAACAAAGGCCCAGATTGGGTTTCGTGGAGCCCTCAGACTGCTCTCTCTCATTCTAGGTGTCGGAAGCCAGAGTGCACTTGGAGAAGACACCTGCAGGTACAAACCACCCTCTGAGTGGTGCGACCTCACTGCTGGGGCTCGGGCTCCGTTCTGGGCCATGCACAGCTCGGACTCCGGTGGCCATGGTCCTGGCTGAGGGTGTCCCCCTCTGGTGTCAGCAAAGCGTCCGTCCCCATGGGCGCTCACCCGGGAATCTCCTCTGCACCCCTACTCTGCACTCCAGACTTGCTGGCCACCTGATGGGAAAGGGTCTGTGGGACAGGTGGTAGTGGTTAGAGCCTGGACTCTTGTCTTTAAATTTTTAATTGAGACTCCATTGATGTGCTTTAATAATGCAATCTGCATTTTATTACAAATTACCATTTTCAGAGTATAATTTAGAGAAGCCATTGCTCTCATTTAAAGCACTTTAAAATGCATTAAAAGGAGACTTTCTACAATTTCGGACATATTTGGGAAGTGATGTTTGGGGTCTAGTTGCCTACAGCAGCCGTGAGGGAGTGCAGGTTCTCAGCAGCCAGTTCTGCTTCGGTAGAAGACTTTTTCATCTGCAGAAACTAGCCGCACTTTGAGATTATACCTTAACCGTCTCCTGCTGTGCTGCTTCCTTGGACTGAAGCGTGAGAACTGTTCCTGCACCTTTACCCACCTCCACGGTGGGCACTTCGGGCCACTGCGTAAGGAGACTACTGTAAGTGCATGTAAAACCTTGTGCTTTTATAGTTATGTTTATCAGGGACTCTTAGTACCACACACAGGATCCATACCTCTGAAAGTCTAAACAAAATAAAGACAAATATCCATTTCTTTTGAGCAAATCCAGAATCTGCATTAACGATTAAAATAGAAATAATCAAGAATAACAAGCTCTGAAAATTGTTTTAAGAGTATAACATAAATCCACCTATTCCAACAGCTTTATCACCACCAATATACAGCAACAGTGAGCTATATAGTCCACATGCATGGTGGTCACTGGGCTAGTAAAATATACCCCTCGTGCCTGGCCAATGAAATGTGAGCAAAACCAGCCTGCGACTTCAGAGCAGAAGAGAAGCACGATGTACGGCTGGCCTCTTCCCTCTCCCTTATGTGGGAGGAGATGCCAGGCACCTCAGGGAGCCTGGTTCCTCCTGTGTGTGGCCCCACCCATGGCTCTCGCGGGTAGGCGGCAGGAATGAGGGATGAAAACTGTGGTGGATGCTTTTTATTAAAACCCAACTTAACCCATTCAGGCAGAGAGAAACACAACAGCCACAACACAGTATTCCTTCCCCTTATAGATAAGAGGTTTTAAATTTGGGAAAAAGTCCAGTGAATGCATTCAGAATGAAGGAAGGAAAGAAGAGCTATTGTTTCTCGACGCACTTCGGATATAAACCTGGCTGTGTATAAACCTCAAAACAGCCCTGGGCTGGCTGTGGTCCCTGCCACTTTCCACACGAGCTGACGACGGAGTTACAATATGAACCTAAGCCAGCTGGCTTCCTCTTCCTTTAGCACACTGCACACTAATTCCAGAGTAATCTGACGCTGGACACTCGCCTTGTGTTCTGCTTGCGTGTCCACATAAACTTGAGATAAGTCGCTTTATGGAGAGTGCTGAGGTCCAGATCATTCAAGCTCTTTGTTTTCCCAGGAAAAATGGGGAAACGTCAATGTTACTGCTCACATCTGACTTGATAAGCACCTTTCTGAAGCTCTGGGCTCTCATCTGTGAACCTGGAGATCACAGGCAGGCACTGCATTTGATAAGCGGTGGCGAGTAAGGACTGGACGCTGTCATCTACGTGACAAGTTTCTGAAACTGTTAGATATACAAATCCCTATCTGAAAAAAGACGAATGAACCACGAAACTGCTCTAAAGCTCAGGGAGAAAACAACACAGAAAGCCTCGGGGCCTCGCCGCGCAGAGGGAGGGAGAGGCTGTCGGCCGCCTGGGCTAGGGCGCTGCCTTCCCACCTGAGCCAGTCTCAGTGGCCGCAGACACATCTGAGATGGAGACCGCATTTCCAGACCTGCACTTGCTGCAGTGAGGGTCAGGGCGCCCCGCGGACAGGCCGCCTTTGTGGTTGCCGAGGGTGAGGGAGAGAGAGACGGCCCCAGAGGAATCCACCCAACTGCACTCCGCTTCGTCTTTGCCGTGCCCGCCCAGTGGGGTGGGCAATGCCCAGGGTGGTTTGCATCTCCTACTCTTTCTGAATGGGAATTCTGTGTGGGTTAGTTATTGCTTTACAGTGGAACTGGACATCCTCGAGGCAGATGACGTATCCTTACCTTTACAGGCCAGCATAACATGAAAGGCTGCTTTTGGGTACGAGAGAAAGAGCTGCATGCCGGTAGGAGGGGCTCAGTGTTAACCTGCAGGAGTAAGTAGATGAGGGTGTAAGGCTGCCTCCCCAGGAGGAGCTGTGTCTGTGCAAAAAGAAGAGGGCTCATGAATGTCTGGTGGCTGAATCACAGGAAAAGTGAAAAGTGAGGAGGCCGTGATCTTTGCTCTGCCTGTGGTGCTGGGATGGAACCCAGAGCACATTCTACACTGAGCTACAGTCCACCCCGAGGGCCATGTTTGTTCAATAGCCTTCTCTCCTTTTCTTCATGCTTAAGGACACTGAACACACTGGAAAATATCCAAATATCAAACCATTATTCTTTCAAAAACTAAGAACAGTGAGTCATCCTGAGCTTAATAGTTTTTCTAACCACTGGCAATAATTTTATATCACAAAGTGGATGTCCGCTGATGCTTTTGGCTTATCGGCATTTGAAGCCTCTTCTTAAATAAGAAAAACATCTCATCCTTCAGCTGTAGAAGTTGAAATTGTCAGGTGTCACTCTCCAGACTGCTTTGCCATTAAGGCAAGATCACAGAGCCACGGTGCGTCTGAAGCTACCTAGGCAAGCAGCAGACCCACGGCGTCCACTCTGTGAGGCTGGGGCCAGCCCTAACTCACAGGAGAGTCCACAGGCACCATGCAGCGCAGAGCAGCAGCCCAGCTTCTCCAGCCGTCCTAGGCATTCTTCTTATCCAGTGTCCACCAGCAAATCTCTTCTCTGCCTAAACCGCCAGAACTGATTTCTGCTGATTGTACTGGGCATGCTAAGAGACACACACCACGTACACATTTCATTTATAATTTATAGTCGAGAACCGTGTTCCTTGTTTGTATGGCTGTACAGCTTCTAGGCGTAGCACTCGAGCGCATGACATTTAAGTCCTCACATACCCACAAGAAGGAACAGCCGTCTTATCAGTTCTAGCAGCTTCTTTCCATTCCACGAGATGAACAGACAACACCAAGGTCTTTGTTTACTGATTCATGGACTATGTATTTGTTAAGTACAGACACGGACATGTGATCTTTTAAATCTCGCAGGCCAAATGAAGTAGTAAATGCTGACAGTCTGAGGTGGTACGAGCCAGGTGACATGGGAGTGGTGCTCTGAAAGCAGAGTTCGCTGTCCAATCTGTAACGCTGCGTTGCTGGCTAAGGTAACTGCTAGACATGCATGGCACCTGAGTGCTTGAGGTGTGGCCAGGAAATTAAATCTTTAATTTGTTTAAATTTAAAGAGCCACATGCGGTTATTGGTTATTGTGTACTGTATCAGATAGCACAGATCTCTAAGTTCAGAAAAAGATAAAAGCATTTTGAAATGTAATCAAAGGGGGATTGTAAACATGCTAACACTATTTCACAATAGTCCTTTGAGATAGACATTATAATGTACACCTCACATGAATACAAGGAAACTGAAGCTGAATATGTTATCTCACTTAGTTCACACTAACCAGGAATGGGTCAGCAAGTCAAATCCAGACCCACGCTGGTTTCCTCTGCCCACCGAAGCTCTGAGGCCTCTGAAGACTCAGTGGATAGATGGGCTCCCTGTGGAGTACAGGTGAGGAACCTGACAGGCAGCAGATGCAGGGTTAGAGGAAGACAAGAAAGGCACGGACAAAGCCTGGAGGCAGAGTATAAAAGAGCTACTGGCCGAGGAAGGCAGAGAAACTAAACTGTGAGTAAAGATCAGATTCTTAATACTCGGAACGCCAAGCTAGAGCCTTTGTCTGAAAGGAGATGGTAATCTATCGAAATCTTTGACATCAGCATAGTGTCACAATCAAGACGATGTTTAGGACAATCCATGCAGAGGCGGGACTGGAGAGACCCAGAAAGCAGAAGGCACTCTTGGAAGTTCCCGCAGGACTTCACGGTGAGCGAAGGTGGTCCCACGTCACCGCGCCACAATGAGAACGCAAAGGATGAAAGAGACCTGAACACGGGAGGGAAGTTCCCTGGCAGAGGTTACAAACCGATGGCTTGGGGGCCGAACGTGGTCAACTAATGTGTTTTGTCTCAAATAATGTTGGGTAATTTTTATTTAGGCGCCAACATTTTAAAATTAAAACGTCTTAAGTAAACAAAGACATTTTATAGCTTGTCCCTGGGGAACATGAGAGTAAATACACCGACCTGGGGGAAAGTCAAGCTCGTAGCCAGAAATGACTTCACCGTGCCTCTCTGGGGTAAGGTTTCAGCAGCTCTCCAGACCTGTCTTTCCCTTGGTGTCACACTTGTCCCATTTTCTGACGTGTTACCTGCCTATCTCCTGGCTTACAAGAATAATAAGACAGCACTGACTAACAGCTGACTTTTTCCATTTTAAACAGCTAAAATTATTTTCCTTGCATTTTAGACTCAGACAAAATCTAAATCCCAGTGAATGGCGCTTCCCTTGCTCACCCTGAAGCAGACATGACAGACGGTGTGGCAGTGTTTGTAAGCCTCGCTGTAACCACCCTCCTTTCAGCCGCCCACCTGTGCCACTGGGGACTGAGTCTCTGCACGCAGTCCTGCCGTCTGCTGTACCACATCGGGCCGTGCGAGGGAACGAAACTCCTCATCCGGGACTGGGACCAACAAAGGCACAGATTACAGCAGGGGTGAAAGGGTCACAGGTCAGCCCGGGCCCCCGGCATGTGGCATGGGCAGCAGAAGGAAAGAGAGCGGGCCCTGAAACATTCAGCAGCCGTGCAGACACGGCAGGTGAGCGGTGCACATGCAGCCCACAGGCGACTTCCAGCTCCGGGACAGGCCCACGCAGCCCGGGGACTCGGCTCACGGGTTTGCTGAAGCATCTTCACCTCCAGCATTATTTATATTACAAGGAAATGATGCTCAAAGCTAGCGCTGGCTATCTTTTTAATGTTAGCATTTTCTCCAATTGCTCTAATCATACGACCCATACAGAGCGGGCAGTAAATCTCCCGCTTCTTCGATCCAAACCACCGGGAAATGGGATAGAAGAGGTGCTGCAGAATGACCTCGTGTGATCCGTGAGGAAGGCCCCAGGGTAAGAGCAGGGAGAACTCACACCAGAACGCAGTCCTCAGCGGCAATGGGTTGGTGTGGCTCCAACTTCCTAGAGGGTTCTTTCGCAAGTTATGCACAAAGCATCTCCAGAGGCGGGCCGGGTCCCAGGACTGGTTTTGAATTTAGTGAACTTACTAAAGTATGAAAGCAAATGGGGTTTAATTGGACTTTTATGTTATATTAAAGTATTAAATTCCTTTAAGGATATTGTTTGGACACAAAGCAATGAAAGATTATAATTCATAGATTAACAAGGTAATGTGTAATGTTAAAGGTAATAAGCATCCTGAGTGGAACTGTGCCTTCATATTTTAAATTCCAAAATATTTTGCTTTGCTTTATCTGCCTAACATGTAACTCTAATGTGGAAATCTGGTGTTACTGTTGAATACTGGATGATATACTATATGTAACCATCATCTAGGAAAAGTAATATTTCCTATAAAAAGATCCATCACAGTTGATCACCACCTGTCTTGATCTCCAGTTTGGCTTTACGAAGATTTGCAAATACTATGATTTATGAAAGTCTAGATCATACATTACCTTTTAAAAACAGCATAAATATAATGGACAGCAGTCAGGCACACTGATTTTCAGCTTGAGAAGAATGGTGCAGCTATCAACTGTTATTACTCACAGTACTTTCTGAGCACCTCCTGTGCTAGGGCTGATGTCAGCACTGAAGACATTCAAATGTGTGGAGCCATTTTCATTTCAGAGGAGGGAGCATGGGCAAAGTTCCAAGCCATTGTAATCCAGTGGCACTATTAAAAGTGAAGTGCATCACTCGCTTTTACACATGAGTAGAATAAGACAAGGCCTTTTTACATTCTTTCCCCTGGGGAAGTGGCCTCTGAGAGCTGGCGGGCTCTCTTCTGCATGGTACCAAGGCATAGCTTAACCAAAGGTGGCAGAGCATAAAACCACGCAAGTCACATTCATCACATGGCACGGACATCACCAAGCACAAATCACAAGCCTAGGGCCACCGGTAACATTCAAACAGCCCTGAGAAGCCTGATCTCCCAAGGGTTAGGAAAGGGGCCATTTTCCTGCATCATACCGCCACAGTCATCTGCTCTCAGATCTACGCATGAGCTACTCTTCCAGCAGGGATGCCAGCTTTTCCTTTAAATGGTTCCTTCTTCCCTATGTGCTAATATTTGATATGATTCAGGGAGACTCAGTACCAGGACCAAGTAATTTAAATAGTGAAAATAATACCTTTTCCATGGGGCTCATTAAAATAAGTAGACACAAGTAATACACTGAAATATCCAAAAAGCACTATTATTTTTCTTAAAAACAGAGATTTGAAGAACATCTGGCTAGAATATTCTCAAGGATGCAAATGAAGAACTGCAAGTACACAAGGAAGATGCCACGGAGACCTGCATCTGCCTAAACTTGCTTTGCTAGAGGAATGGCCCTTTCGTCCCACTAACGTCAGTGACGCTGAGATTTATAATCCTCGGGCAGCTTGTTAACCTCTGTGAGCAGTTTCCCAAACGTGATAGAAGGAAAATCATTTCCTTGAAGAATTATCAGGACATTAAAGGTATGTGGGACGTAGGACCGATGCAGTAAACAGTGACTGTTGTTATTGTGTTTAGTTTTCAAGGTTATAGCATATCGCGGGAAAATTCTTACAACAATGAAGACAACGAAGAAACAGGTATAGAGAAGACTGTAGTTCGGGCGGTAAACGTCAGAGCCAGAGTGGTGTCGAGCTTGACTTCATCAGCGTGACCGCCTCGGCAGCTGCTGAGAGGAACAGGAAAGCACACCTCTGGGCGAGTCTGGGTAAGTAGGGAGGCATGGCCTTGGCCGTGCCCAGTCCCCGGCCCTTTCCTCTGGCCCTGCTCTGCTTCCCAGCCGCCCAGAACAAAGCAGCTTTGCTCTGCCATGCGCATCCTCCAGCGTGCTCCTGCCTTGGAGCAGCTGACCATGGACTGGTCCCTGACACCACGAGGCCAACTGACCTCTTCCCTACATTGTAGGTGTCGGGTGTTGTGTCTTAGTGACAGGAGAGCTGGTGAACAGAACCAGAGTAAATGTTTACACATCACTCAGCAGCTGGAATCCAGAGAAACTGTCTTCAAAGGTATTCAGGAGGCTGTTGATCTATCTAGTGAGAGACTGGTACTCCTGACCCAAATTACTGCTTACAAAGATCGCTGAGTCACTTTCTTGGGGGACCCTTCTCTATACCCAAACAAGTATATTTTTCATTGCTCTGACCTTTGTGTAATGCACACTCATCTGTTATAGCCACAGAGTGATTTCTGCGAGTGTCTGTCTCCATTAGACTATAAGCTCTAAGTGGATGAGGAGCACATCCGAATCCACAGCCTCTCGCAGCTACTGCATATCATCGCTCTTCAATAGAGTACTGGATAAATACACGAAAATCATATGGTCTCTTTGTAGAGCTCTTAGCACTTTTTGTGTAGAATGCTAGTGCTTGAAGACACTATATAAAGATGCAATGAGGATATGGACTTGGAAGACAGGTACATTTAGGATTACACGATTACTTAGCTGTTAAACTATTTCTGAAAATACTTTAAAAAATGGACTAGCTTTGAAAACAGACGGCTTACTGAACTGACTGGTTCATTTAGTCGAATCACACAGAGTAGCAGATCACTGCTTCCTTTACACAAGTTGTTCTCAACCAGTGTGAAAACCATGTATTGGGATGATTCCTTTTTTTGTAAATTAGTGCGGGCTTCAGCTCTGACAGCAGTAACATTCCTGAGTGCATTGCCCACATGACCTTCACGTAGCTCGTGTGAGGGTCTCCACACATCCAGATTCCCTCTGTGTGGCTGCCGCACTGGTCTGTATGACAAGCAGAGGTTAAGTTTTCCTTGTTATCTCAGAAAAGTTTTTAGGATAGCATTCTGTAAACCTAACAATTCTAGGTATAACTTGGACTACGATGGCAGCTGAGAGGCGAGTCTGCTAATGCGTCTCCTTTAACCCGTGTGTCTCAGGCACACCCAAGCTGGAGGTCTAGTGTGATCAGTGAGAGCGGTCAAGCGCTTCCAGGTAATAAAAGCCTAGGATAGCCTGGGAGTGGAGCACACAGTTTGTACTGACGATGGCTTGGGTTCAAATGCTGACTCTACTACCTGGGAAAATTTCTCAGCTCTCCTTGCCTCAGTTTCCTTATCTGTGAAATAGGGATAATAAAAGCACTGCTTCACAAGGTTGCTGTGAGCCTCAGAGAGTAAACACATGCCAAGTTCTTACAATAGCACCTGGACAAGGGCAAGGGTTTAGTTTTAGCTACAGTAAGGGCCCTTCGTTTACCCAATCTGATTTTTTCATTTTGACTTGTTTATACATTTCCTAGAATTCTAAATATTTAATCACCGAAAACATGAAGTGTAAATATAAATACCAGAAAAACTAAAACTCACATAAAAATTAAAAATCATGTTTATACAAGGATGCACTCTGCTGTCATATCTGCAATGCTTTAGACTAAGTTAATATTGCAGCATTAAGCTAGAAGAATTTGAATGTCCTCAGTGAGTTAGTGTGAGGACCTTTTTGCATGCATACTGTTAATTCTCCATCCTACTCCAGATTCCCTAGGAGACACCCGTCGCCCTGTAACAGAGCGACTGTCACGCTGTACAGACCACGATGCACACAGGTCTAAAGACGAACAGTTTCCCACTAACATCAGTTGACTAAACAGGATCTCAACGTTGGGATGCCATTAATTTTGTCAATTCTTACTTTGATCTACAAATTACATTTTCAGTGCTAGTTGGTAAATCTTCTAGGGAAATTCTTCACGATGAAAGCACACACACGGTCCATCATTCAAACCTTTCTGAAGAACTCCAAGCCACTTGCTGCTAAGCGGTAGACAGCACACCCCCCACCCCCACCCCCGCAGCACCCAGTCCACGGCCCCGGGTCGCCCTCTGCGCCCTGGGAACCAAGCTCCAAGTGTGCAGCACCTAGCAGCTCACGCACCACCGCTCCTCTCCCGGTCCCGCATGCAGTGTCTCCGGGCCCTCTGGCTGAGTCTAGATTCTGAGGTCTGGGGTTCTCAGGCATCTCTGTCCTTGGGGCCAAAGGCTGACCCGAGACTTGGGGGCGCTCCCGCCGCCTCCACCCACCGGGAGGAGGGGACCCGCGGCCCGATCGCCCCTCACCTGCGTCCTCCTCCGGGGAGTTCATGCAGGGGAAGTAGCCGGCCAGCGCCTCGAAGGAG